TAAAAAAAAGAGTCTCCCATCAAAACACAACCTCCAGTAAGAAGATGGTCCACTGTAGGGGAATAAATTGACAGTGGTCTGAGAGAAATCTCTATTGCTCCTCAAGAAAATGTCTTGGAAAAAACGTGATAGAGTGCCTCAGAGGCTGGCCTTCTGTAGGCAGGTGCCATAGAAAATAAACAAACAAAACAAAAAAATTGAAGAAAATTCTTTCACTCACACCAATGATTCTCCCTCTTTAGAGAAGCAGTGGACAGAGGATGCATTGGTAGCTCATATTGTGTAAGGGAAGAAGTCCAAGGAACATAGTGCTCCTACTGAGAGGTGTTCTAATGGGCTGCACTTCCCAGTCATTCATATGCATATAAGTTAGATGGGATATTGTTGAAATGTCTATCTTAATACAGTAGGTTTGGTGTAGAACCAAGGAGTCTGCAATTTCTAATAAGTTCACAGGTATTACTGATACTGCTGATCTTTGGACCACTTCTCAAGTAACCAGGGATTATAAAAACTTTTAAAAAAAATCGTGGTATCAGATAAAAAAATCCTGATGAATGTGAAGGAAATTGGACAATATCCTAAAATTTTAGATTTGCACATTTAAAAGAGGTAAAGAGTCAAAGAAACATAGATCACATACTCAGAGGTCTTCTATAGAGCAGTTAGCAGTTAGTTTGGTAAAATATTGAAACTCTTACCAAGAAAGTAATCAAACATTACAGACAGAGAAAGAAAAACAGGATATGCTTCCTATTTCTACTTATCTGAAGATTTTAATATATATTTGCTAGAACTGATGTGTTATATAAATATTTACTAATTCCTTCGTTATAATTCTGGTAGTATATTACTAGCTAATAAATGCCAGATATCTCAGACAGATTTTTACTTGTCCCCTTTTCATCCTCAGGTTGGTGAAGATTATAATAACATCAGTGTCTGATTAAATATTCCTTTACAGAACTCATACCAGAGTCTCCCTCTCCACCTGTTATTAATCTGCTGTGGCAGCCTATCTGTTCTTTCCTTTGAGATGAGCAATGTTCTTTTATCTTGATAGGTCAATGGGAAAGATCTTTCAATGGCCACCCATGAAGAGGCAGTGGAAGCTTTCCGAAATGCCAAGGAACCTATTGTGGTTCAAGTATTAAGGCGAACACCGCTCAGTAAACCGGTGTATGCAACAGCCCCAGAAGTGCAGCTCATGAATGCCAGCACTCAGACGGACATCACCTTTGAACACATCATGGCGCTGGCCAAGCTCAGGCCTCCTACCCCCCCAGTGCCAGACGTCTGCCCATTCCTGCTCTCAGACAGGTATTCTTTTGTCGTTTCTCCTGAAGGCCTATTTGTTTTCGTTAGTCATTTAAAGTAGGTGTTGGAGAGAATCAGTCACATTAGCAAGTTGGCAATTATGGAGACAGGCTCCCAACTCTGTTAAAGAAATGTCTTTACCGTGTCTGTATCCAATTATTCCTCAGCTGTCGCTGCTAGCCATTCTCCCTGACCCATGTGTTGGCTTCCCCTCAGGAATCATCCTTGCTGAAGAGCATTCAAAATTCTGCCTCTGATTAGTTCATCTTCATATTTCCAGTCATCAAAAGCCTCGTACTACTCATGAGCACTGGTCAGGGAAATAGCTTTTCTCACCAGAGCTGCCAACAACCTTATTAAGACTCACATGGAAGTGGCATGTTGGCACCATATTCTCCTCTGTGGGTAGCCTTATGCTCCCCCATGCTTTCCTCTTCTTTAAAGGAAAAGCTAGAAATTAATTTAATTAAGTGCAATCCTCCAAAGAAGGCAATTACTAAATGTACTGAGATGTAAACAAAAAAGTCCTGGCTGTCATAGAGAAAGAATAGTGTTATGGAATAAAGAACTATTTAAAGAATATGTCTTTCCAAATTATACCAGTTTTAAATAATCAATAAATAAATATTAAAATGATTCATGGCTAAACTTACACAATCTTAGAAGTGTATTTTGTCTCTTTATATTTTGTTCTCGGAACTTGTAAGCCAAAATGTAAAGTATTCTGAGTTTTACAAAATGCAGAATACTGGAGCCAGCATCGTAAATGCTGTTTTCAGATGCTACTGCTTTTATAATGATTCACATGTCAGAGATGAAGAAGGTGATGTTCAGAAGCTTGGCCAACATCCTTTAGCAAAGAAGGGACAAAGCCAGGCCTCTGAGCACGAGTTCTGATCCGTGGTCACTCTCTGAACTTAATTGCTGTGCCACTCATTTTTCCTCAAATTCTCCAGATCTCCTCTGGAAAATATCTATTTCCTGCAGTTACTATCAACCGGGTGGAAGGAGGAGTGGTGTCCACTTCCATAATAGCTTGTCTCCGGAAACCCTATGAACTTGGAGAGAGGATGAAAGGCACCCAAGCGTCAAGGACTCTCCTTCATAGGGTCACTATGAGTCGCCTGCGACTCAACGGCACTTGACAAGAACAACAACAACAACTATCAACCAGATATCTAATAATTTCTCTATTTTTGTCTTTATTATTGTATTCAATCAAATTTTCACCTTGTTCTTTAATGGATTAGCAGTGTACAAATTGTATTTTGTAAATTCTAGCATTTCGCAATGTGTCTGGTGTTACTGTTATTTTTAGGTGCCATTCAATTGACTTTTACTCATAATGACCCCATTTTACAGAGTAGAATTGCTACATAGGGTTGTTTGGTTTTGGTGTGGGGGGAGTTTTTTGGTTTGTTTTTTGTTTTGGTTTTGTTTTGTTTTTGTTTGTTTTGCTGTAACCTTAATGAGAGAAAAGTGGACAGTCTCTTCTCATGTGATTTATAGCCTTGAGAACCCAATGGAATGTCAGCTATGAGATGATTCCATTGTACCACAATGAGTTAGAGTTTTGTTGTTTTTGGTTTTTAAAAGAATCTTTATGCGTGAGTTCCTCAGGTATTTGTTTTGTTTTGTTTGTTTTCATCCAAAGAATCTCTGGGTAGATTGGAACCACTGGTTGTTGACTCAAATCCAAGTCCTATTGGTACAGTGGTTAAGCATTCAGCTATTTTGAACAGTAAAGATTATTAACATTGGTTGAAAGAAAAACCTCTGGGAGAATTAATTTCGATTAAGAGCATCTATAAAATGAATATTTGGTTTCATGAGTTAAAAAAAAAAACATAAAATCAAAGTTGAATGCCTTATTATTTTCCTTGACAGCACTCCTTAAAAGTTTGCTGAATGGAAAAAGTTCTCTTTATGGCAGAACTTCCTCTCAACTAGTGAAGGACAAGGGAAACACATCCAAATGGTGGCAAAATAAAATAAAATGAGCTTCTATACTCAACCAGCTTGAATGGCTTTTCAGTCAATGTGTTAGATCTACAATCAGAATGCTGTCTGCACTACCTTTGCTATTCCAGACTCCTCTGGCTAACCTGAGCAGAGCTGATAGCCAGAGATGGCATGAGCGAAGGCTGGTTTGCTGACCCTGTGAGGGCATCAGGGTCATCAGACTCCCTTGATTTTTCTCATTCAGTGAAAAGGAGAATCACTTGCATTACCGATCCCTGATTTCCCATAATGTCCATGCAGAAGGGCTGGAGGATTTCACACTTGCAACCAACTTAAATTTCTGTATTTTCAAAAGAGAGATGGCCTTATGTCTTTTGTGACTAACTGCTGATAGATTGACTGGTCTAACCCACCCAGAGCCTCCTCGGCAAAAAGGCATGGCAGTCTGCTTCTGAAGTGGCACAGTCTTAAAACCCCAGTGGAGAGTTCTCTGCACACTTGCGGTCACCATGAGTCAGAATTTACTTGAAGGCAACTCACAGCAACTAAACCTTGCAATACAATGTCTAGCATCAATCTTGTAATTGATAAATTGTTTTGATAAATGGTAAATTGTTTTCTATAAAGTATGTAATATTTCTTCTGAAAGTTAAGGGTCATATAAAATCCGCATGAGATGTTCTGGGTCCCCTCCTGTCCTTAACTGAAAAAGCTCTGTCTTGCACTGGGAATTTTCTAAAGGAATTTTAGGATTTTTCTGGTGAGCTATTACCATGATTGCATGCCAGGGCCCTTTATCAAATAGGAAGAAATGTGAAGAAGAACGATGAAGAAGTAATGGGATGAATACCAGTCTATTTCAAAGTCTGAAAATTATGTGCTTTTGAAAGCAGCCTTCAAAATACAAGTAGAGGTTATGTATCACTAAAGTGGCAATACTTTATTACAAAATACCCCCTTTGGGTAGACTGCAGTCTGAAATGTCACATACTCATGTATGGAGCTCTTTCAAAGTTAATGGAATAGAAGCCAGTCAAAGAGCATCAATAAAGCACCAGGCCTGCCAAAGATCTTATATCAGGTCCTTCACAGAATGGAACTCTGACCAGGGCCCTTACTCTCAATATTCTCACAGAAATTGCAAATTAACATCATCATGTTAATTAGGTGTAGAAGGAAAAGCAATTGCTCTTTCTGAGCTACACTTCCTTTAAAGGAATGGGTCTATTTCAGAGCAGACAGAACTAAAGTCAAATTCTAAAATTAGTTTTAATGTTGAAAACAACCCTTTTGATCTAGTCCTATCATATTGCTCCATTCCCCGTAGCTGCCATTCTCTTCATCCCATGGAGCATGAATTTTATGAGGACAATGAGTATCTCTCCAGCTTACCTGCTGATGCAGACAGAACAGAGGACTTTGAATACGAGGTAAGATCATTTTCACTCCACTTCACATTTCTTCATGAAGTTATGGTTGAGGGGTTTTGCCTAACAAAGAAGAAATTCATTTATTACTGCAAGAAGGAGTTTGTCTATTATATATCAAGGGGAAGATCTTTTAAATATAATTCGTTTTAACTTTCAGCCTTTAGTATTTTAAGCGTGTTAGGAAAAATAGTTTTATAATGTAAATGTGAAGAGATAGATTTCTCCAATTTTTGTTGTTTTCTATAAATAATATTGTAGCAACCATAATTTTTTTGTGTACAAGAACATATCCAGTTAATTAGGAAAACTCTTTCTATTTAAAATCTAGATGGTATTGATTATTTTCATTCAATGTCTAGTACATTGATTTGAATTAATACATTAAATTTTGGAGGGTATTTGTTGTATAACCCTCCACAATATCAATAGTATATTTACTTGTGACTCAGGTGTGTCTTCTGAAGAATGGTTTCACTTACATTCTAGAAAGAGAGATGGCCTCCTACCCATAAATGTTAAACTATGCTCGGTCTTCATAGGGTTTGATCTTAAAGTATCTATCCTGTGATATATAACAAATGTAAAAAGCCCATCTGTTAATTATTTAAAAGCTTTCACAAAAGTTAAAGGATTTATCCTAATATTTCCTCTGCTTCTGCAGTCTATAAATCATTGAAAGGTTTCACACTCCTGACATTTGGAAATAAAATAGATTGAGGAGGGAACGAAGCCTTGGTAAACAGGCAGAGAACCCATGATAATCTGCCCTTTTAATGCTTTAGATGATGTCATACAAGTTCAGCAAAGTGTTCTTTTTTCCATTTTACAACCAGGAAATCCTGAAATCTCTTCCCTTCGGAGGATCTGAAATCAAATGAGGCCACTTCAGAGCAGCTCACCTAAAGCAAATAGAGGATTATTTGAAATCTTTCCCCACAAAAGTCATTGCTAGGGATTACAGAAATCATTATTTCTTCTCAGCCAGAATTTAGAAGGATGTGCACGGACACCTAATATCTGAGTCGATAATTTTTTTTTCAAGTTGTGTTTAGGTTTTTTGTTAAATTGTTATCCTCATCCCCCCATTAAGTTGACTAGAAATTAATTCAAGCACTGCTACGTACTGAAATCTCCATTACATTTTTCAATTCATACATAATACTTTGCAAAATTAAAGAATGTTTTCTTCCAAATAACTATTGCTTTGTTTTGGAACAGGGGTTATCTCAATCATTTCCATTTTATCACTAAATTTGTTACTTCCAGATTTATTAGATATATAGTTTTGTGCTAGCAGAGGACATGGTAGGGAGACTTATTTTGGCTAAAATGGTCATCAGTAAAAATCCCTTAATTAGTCAGCATGTCACTGAAATATTACAACACAGGACAGCTTTCTTTACATTCCTATTAAGACTCACTGTAGTTAAAGTATGTCCTCTTTTATGGCCAATATCAATCCCTAATAGAAACCAGCAGCAGCGTGATGACAGTAGTAAATGCTCAGACAGGTTCTCTGCAGCCTGTAATCTCAACTAATCACAGCATCACAGTCATTAATTTGCTGTCATCTGTGATTCCCTTGCCTAAGGCACCTTTCTCAATGATTGAAACGAAGAATGCTCCTATGAAATGTAAATAGGAAAGGAGTTACTATGTTGGACTTCAATCATGAGAACAGATGCATTTGAGAGAAACACGTATGAGAAGGGTGAGAGTGTAGCTATGGATTAAAGCTCAAGGATTCACCAACTCTGTTGTTGTTGTTGTTGTTGTTGTTATGTGTCGTTGAGTCACCTGTGACTCACAGCAACCCTCTGTACAACAGCCCTAAACCGTGCTCTATCCTGTGCCAACCTCACTCTCTCTGACACACCCACCCACCCCAATTTCCCCAGTCACTGAATCGTCGTTGGCGACTCATAGCAACCCTATGAAGGAAAGTCCTCAACACCTGCGTGACTTTCATCCTTTCTCCAGGTTCATAGGGTTTCCAGAGGCAAGCTATTTACAGAAGTGGATGCCACTCCTGCTTCCAGGCTTGTTTTAACCGGGGAATGCCACCAAACACTGTCCACCATGGGTAACCATTATTGCATTTGACACGTCAGCGTCACACACAGGGTTCAGATCTGTTGTTCATGGTGTCATTATGAATTGTACTCAACTCAGTGGCACCAAACAACAGCAGGATTAGCTGAAATGCACTACTTCATGACCCTCGGGGAATGAGGTAAATTAGAGCCTTCAGGAAGATCCGGTTTTGTGCCTTTTAGAGAATATTATAGAAAATTGAGATTTAATGGCAAAAGACAGAGATTCTTCTAAGAAAAAAATACTCTTTCCCTTCTGCTGAGCTGTGGACATGTATCAGTACAAAACGGAGACTAGGCTCCTTGATTTGCTTCTTTTTATTTCTGCTGTTAATATTTAATGATAAACTAAGATTTATCAGATATTTTTCTTGTTAAGGGATTGTTAAAAACCTGCCCTAGAATAAGTTAAACTTCCAGAGAAAGGAGATGAATAGTCAAGTAAAAACATTTTATTAGATGATGGTAAATATTCATGTTCTTTAATTCTTTTAGCTCAAGAAATGCCAAGTGTGTTCTCTTCTGGTTGTCTAAATCCAGCTCCTTGCACATTCATTACAATACTTTGCTTTGTCTTCTTGAGCTATCCTTTGAAATATCTGTTAATTTTTTTCCTCTCAGCATTATTTCCCTTTATTTTGGCTTCTTTTTGTTCCAGTGTATGTTTGACAGTCTCTTTAGACATCCATTTGGTTCTTTTCTATTTACCTTTGTGTTTGTAATGACATTTTGTTTTCCTCTTGGGTAATATCATAGATGTCATTCCACAAGTCATCTGGTCTTTGGTCTTTAATGTTCAACTATGTGTCAGAACTATTCTTTTTTTTTTTAATTGTAAAAAACACGTATTGTGATCCAAGGGGGTGAGGATTGGGAGCAGAAGAATGAGGATGGGCAGGGATGAAATCACAGGGCTGCACAACTTGGTGGGTAGAGGGAGTAGGATCCAGCTGGGACCAGAAAAGATAGAGTAATAGTGAGCATAGTCCAATGGTGATTACTTTTTTATTTTTTTATACAAAGACATTTTCTTTTTAATTTGTGGGTTTCTCATTTGGGAATGGGGCTCAGCCTCTCTGGCTGTTTCGTGATGAACAGGGGCACTGAGGTGAGGGGAGAATGGGAGCCCACTTTAACACTTTACTGGTGATCCTGAGTTCACGCTGCACACCTTCTTGTTCAGTTAGAAGATATTTTCCTGATGTTTTCTGCCCTCTCGACTGCAAAGGGTTTGCCAAGGTGAGTTCATTGGGGATGGCTGGCTGAAACCTGAGGCTCCATCCACCTTCGCTTCCTTAGCTGGCAGTTATATTTCCCTTTTATCTCAGGAACTGAGCTCAGCGTTTAGGTCTGGAGCAAGACTCAGTGTTCAGGTTACGTACAGGAAATGAGCAAACCTAGAGAGAACAAACTTGTTACAAAGATAAGGGCTTTGGAAGTGTTATAGAGGTACTGGAGAAGGAGATGGAGGAAAGAGGCTTTGATAAGATTCCTTATACCCACCAGGCGGCTCTCCCTGGGGGCCAAGCAATAATCCTCCAAGGAAACACTCCCTCCTGACAAAGCTTCCCCAAGGTCTGGACCCTGCACTCCACTGGAGATCGAGGCCAGGGACAGCATCCCTGGATCCAGTGCCTCCATCATTGCCCCCTCCCCTCCACCAAGTGCTCCAGCTGCAACTCGAAGCAGGCATCACTACCCTCCCCCTCTACAAATGGAGAAGGGGATTTCAAAGTGGTAAACAGACTCACCCAAGGTCTAAACAGTTCTTGGCAGCAGTAGTCAAGAAATCAAAAGGTGTGGTGCATTGAGGAGATCTGCTGTCCAGGATCTATCCAAGGAAGTCTTCTACACTGACAGTGTCATGCTCTCCTGGATACGGTCCTTCACCTCCTCCATGGCAGCCCCACAGTCCCTGCTGTGCCCGCCACCCCGGGGCCCGCGGCCACTGGCAATCATGACTGCCAGCCATGTGAGAGCTCTGTCGCACTGGCCATGGGGCCCAGCACAAGCCACCCAGTCCAGGTGAGGGGACTCCTGAGCACTGTCTGTGGTGGCCCCGCGGAGGTGTGGCAGCTGGTGGCCAGAGGAAGGAGGACCCACCCATGTGCTTTATTTATTTATTTTTATTTTATTTTATTTTTTTTTAGAATCTTTGTCTCTTGATGTTGAGCCCCAATCCATATTGAAGATCGGTAGTCAACTATTTAACTGTTCAGGTAGAGATAAACTGTGAGGGCCCTGGTGGCTCATTTCGATGTAGCTCGGCCCACCTCCAGCTTATCACACTGCTTCCCCTGCTGCCGCCCTCTTGATTCTCCAGAACTATTCTTAAAATATTTTTAAAATTCAGATAAGATACTCATAAGGTCACATTTTGGTTCTTGTGGGTGTTTGTTAATTTTCTTCAACTTCAATTTGAACTTTCATATGAGTAGGTAATTGTCTGTTTCACAGTCAGCCCCTGGACTAGTTTTGACTGTTGATACTGATTTTCCACAGATGTAGTCAATCTGATTCCTCTGTAGTCCACCAGGTCAAGCGCAGGTGTAAAGTTATATTTATATTTGGTGGTGTGGTTTTGGTTTTGGTTTGTTGTTGTTGTTTTAAATATAAAATAGTTGTAGCAAATAAATCATTCATTATACAAAATCTATTCTATAAACTCTAACTTCATTTCTGTCTCTAGGGCCTTATATTCTAACTACCAATACTTCCTCTTTGTTTCCAACTTTTACATTCCAATATACAATTATTATTCATACATCTAGATTGCATGTTCAATAAATTTCAGACTGCAAAGGTGGTAGGAATCCTCAGATTCTTCACCTTTAATTTTTATGGCTTGATGTGAAGAGGAATGAGACATCAGGATTGGGTGAAGACTCATCGACAACCTGTGTTATG